CAGGGTCTTTTCCAATCAGTCAGTTCTTCCCATCAGGTGGTCAAAGTATTGGAGTTTCAGCTTCATCATCAGTACTTCCAATGAATATTCAGGACTGTTTTCCTTTAGGATGGACTGGTTGGATCTCCTTGCTGTCCAAGAGACTCTCAAGAGTCTTCTCCAACACCACAGTTCAAAAGCATCAATTCTTCAGTGCTCAGCTTTCTTTATGGTCCAAATCTCACATCCATACATGACTATTGGAAAAACCATAGCTTTGAGTACATGGACCTTCATCTGCAAAGTAATATCTTTCCTTTTTAATATACTGTCTAGGTTGGTCATACGTTTTCTTCCAAGGAGGCAGCGTCTTTTAATTTCATGGCTGCAGTCACCATCTGCAGTGATTTTGGAGCCCAGAAAAATAAAGTCTGTCACTGTTTCCATTGTTTCCCTATCTATTTGCCATGAAGTGATGGGACCAGATGCCATGATCTTTGTTTTTCGCATGTTGAGTTTTAAGCCAGTTTTTTCACTCTCCTCTTCAACTTTCATCAAGTGGCTCTTTAGTTCTTTGCTTTCTGCCATAAGGGCGGTGTCATATGCATATCTGAGGTTATTGCTATTTCTCCCAGCAATCCTGATTCCAGCTTGTGATTCATCCAACCTGGCATTTCTCATGATGTACTCTGCATATAAGTTAAATAAGCAGGGTGACAATATACAGCCTTGACGTACTCCTTTCCCTATTTGTAACCAGTCCGCTGTTCCATGTTCAGTTCTAACTGTTGCTTCCTGACCTGCATACAGGTTTCTCAGGAGGCAGGTCAGGTGGTCTGGTATTCCCATTTCTTGAAGAATTTTCCACAGTTTGCTGTGATCCACACAGTCAAAGGCAGACAGGGCTCAGGATGAGCGTGAACCTGGAGGTGACCCAGGGTAGTCCCTGGCAGGGCCGGCACGCGGCTCTGTGGGGCCTCCCTGCGTGCCCCAGGCCTCCTCCCTGCTGATCTGATGCTGCTCTGAGGCTTCAATCCCACCTGTGTGCTGCTGCCCCCGGTGGTCATCAGTCCCGGCCGCTCTCCTGCACCTGGGCCTCTGTGAACAGCTGCCCACTCCACACCCCCGCTTGGTCTCCACCACACTCAGCCTGGCTCAGAGAACCATGATTTTCTACCACAGATCTTTCCCTCCCCTAGGGTCCCCATCTTGGTAAATGACATCGTGATTACTAAACCACTCAGAAGCTCAGCTTGAAAATGAACTGGGCATGTTTGATCTCATTTTTCTTTCTCACCTCACAACAAATCTGAAAGAAGATATTGTCGTCTTTGCCTTCTAAGTGCGCCCGGAATCCAAACTCTTGTGAGCGAAGCCCCTCAGTCCAGGCTGCAGCATCCCCGGCCGTGACACAAACCTTCCAGATGTCACCCTCCCCACTCTTGGAGCCCAGTGGTCACGCCAACCAGCATCAGCACGGCTGAGGGCATACAAGCTTTTCCAGAGCAGAAGTTAAGTCCACAGCACGCCCTGAAGATCCTCGCGTCCCCTCCCTTCCTGTTGACCTCACCTGCCACGGTTCCCATCTTCATCACGTTCCGCCAGCAACACCAGGCTGGGTGTTTCTCACCATCCAGGTTTCCTCTCATTTCAGTCCGCACACCCAACATTTCACTGCCTGGAATGTCCTTCCCCCAAAGCTCCCCATCTCCTCCCTCCCCTCTGTCTGTGTCCACTGGGAGGTCAGTTCCTCAGAGAGCTGAGCCTGACCTCAGGCAGCTCCAAGCCCTGCCCTTGCTGACCTCAGGACCACGACCCTGTTTGCTGACATGACCACTTCTGAGGCACCTGCCCTCCCCTGGAGAAGGTAAGCTCCATGAAGTCAGCAAGTTTGACCTTTCCTATTACTATATTCCTACAAAGAATAAGTATTTTGTCAGTTCTCGGCTTATTACACACCCATCCCACTCCTGTCTAGAGTGTAGAAGTGGGAAACATAGATAAATGACGGATGGACAGAAAGATACAGTAAACAGATGGGAGGTAAACAGGAGGTGATTGATAAATGATAAATAGATATGATAGATAAATAAATGCATTCATCTTCCTATAACAAGGATTCCAAACATGACATGACTTCTGTTCACCAATCAGCTGCCCTTGCACGAACCTTTGGTGTGAGTGAGAGTGAGAGGAGACCAGTGTCCAGGTTCAGGGAATCTATTTTCCCAGCACAAATTGTGGCAGAGATGGTGAAAACAGTTCCAGGGAGATGACCTCACAGCTGAGTGGTCTGCTGGAGGCTGCGGGCTCAGGGGCTGTGGCCACAGGGCTTCCGGCCATGGCAGAGATGAGGGCACCCAGGGCACAGGCCCAAGCCTGACCTCCAGAGACAGCCCATCACCCTGCTTCCCCTTTCCACATACATGAGAAAACAGGAGCCGCTGTTACAGCTGAGCCTCCATCAACACACCAGCTAAGCCTCCTAAAAACCATCAAGGAGATACCAGTCGATTCCTACCTTCCAGGTGAGAAACATCCACACTAAAGCCAGGATGATGAGTTTTGACTTCATCCTAAAATCTACGGGACCCACTGAACCCTAACCTGTAGTAAAATGACATAATTAATTTTGTGTTTCGGAACGTGTGACCCAGCAGCCGCTGGACAGTCTTAGAGAGACAGCAGCTGACTGCTAACAAAGGAATCAGAACAGTGTCTGAGAAAGCCATCTCGAGTCACATAGTTGCACACTCACATACAAGATGAATAAGGTTCACACTTGTCAAACTAGTGACAAGCTATCTCGCAAGGAAAGAACACCATAACTAAACATGTGGTTGTGGTGGTTTTAGTTGCTGACTCACGTCCGACTCTTGCAACCCCCTGGACTGTATCCCAGCAGGCTCCTCTGTCCATGGATTTTCTAGGTAAGAATACTGGAGTCAGTTGCCATTTCCTTCTACAGGGGATCTTCCTGACCCCGGGATCGAATCCAGGTCTCCTGCATTGTAGGGAGACTGTTCACTAACTGAGCCACCAGGGAAGCCCCAGTTAAGCATGCAGTGTGTGCTAATTTCTCGGCATCGCCAAAACCAGGGCCAGATACTGGCCTGAGGACAGCGGGAGCCAGCAGAGATGCTCACACAACAGCGATTCCCCATGTCACCTGTCACCACTGTGTCCTTCACTGGGTAACAGCTCCCCAATGACCCACACCTATGGTAACAAGTCAGCATCTGCTGTGGCAAGAACGGAATGTTGGGATTACATGGTTTGTGTTGTTTAATCAAGGTGAACACATTTAGCAACCCCATAGAAAAAATGACATCCCTATGTAGATAATTAAAGCCAGAGACTCTAAACTTTTTTTTTTGTATGTGTACATCAATTCATCATGAGTTACAGATTTTAAGAAAAATAAAATCCTTGTTGGCATCCTGATCGCCTCACTGACCACTATGCCTTCAGACAGCTCTCCTCCTGGTCACACTTATCCCGGCTGGCGGGGGCGGGGGGCGTCACTGTCCCTGCAGTTCATTCATTGGCCTGTTCATCAACTCAGGCAAAGGTCAAGCTGAGTGCGCTGCCTGTAGTTAAACTGAATCAAATGATTGGGACAATCTTGCCTGGTTCACAGACCAGAAAGAGAAAAAAATAAAACTGATTCAGACTTACAAAGCTTAAAGCAATGGTAAAAATAAGACTTTTACAAACAACTTCTGTTAGAAGTCCTTGTATTAGTTTGCTAGAGTTTGCTAAAACAGACAACCACAGGACTGGGTGGCTTCAGCAAGAGAAATTTACTCTCTCATGGCTGCTGTGCGGTTGACAGGAGGAAGGGATGGATGGACCTGCCCACCCATCAGGACAGGCACGGGGTGGTTGCGGGCAGGACGTGGCACCCCGCTCTCAGATCACACTCCAGCCCTGGGGGGGGTGCTGCACCTGCACGCTGAGGGACCCTGACTTCCACAGAGCACAGCGGGTTTTCAGTCCTGCCTGGACCTCCCGCCTGTGGCTCGGAGTCAGCGAAGACCTAGCTGAGATGAGAACCATCAGGAGACAGACGCAGTCTGGTGCGCTTCCAGCCGTACAACACAAACGGTTGTGTTAGTAGCTTTCCAGCTGCTGGGCGGGTGCCCACTCTGCGTGTTTGCACGGAAAATTAAAACAGAGCAAAATTATATTAAATTTTGATATGAGTCGCTCGATTTTCATCTAAAACATAATAAAGTAATATATCGCTTGACAGTATCTAATTTATAGCCTCAGGCCCTGTTCTGATGACATGGGGGAGCTGCTTTTTGCATCAACAGAGGTGACCTACGACCCGCATCAGGGGATGCGTCTGTCACACAGGGAAGCTGAACATCCATGTTAGAGATGGACTTTTATAGAATCGAGGGTGCCGAAGGCTGCCATCCTGCGGAGGCACTGGGAGCCGGGAGCCCGAGTTCCAGCACAGCAGGTGCCCATGGCGGAGGGGATGGCGGTGCCGGGAGGTGGAGGGTGAAGAGTCGAGAAAGCGGGGCTGAAGTGGCAACCACGTGCTCCCGGATAAGCTTCCTCTGGTGCTGCTGCTGCTTTGATTTTGAGAAATTCAAGACCGAGACCAGGCTGCTCAACAGTTCGCAAAAGACGGAAAGAAAGGAAGGAGGAGGAAACCCAGTGCTAGATGCTGTACAAGGCCTTGGGTCCTGGAAAGGCTCTTCTTTTAGAGCATGTCAACTTTCTCGAGTGCTGAGAATCACCCCCAGTTATTTCCTGACTTTCTCCAGAAGTTTCATCTTCCCAAAACGCTTCCGTTAAGTGTCTTTTCATTATCTGTAAACAACCCTCCAGCGAAAGCATTAGAAAACTATTACAATGAAGTGATATTCTGGAAATCATGTTACTAATTTCAAGAAGGGTAACTGCTCCTTGTAACCACCTCCTGGTGGATGTCCTGCATGGCACATGGAGGGCGGCAGACAGGAAGGGAGACACACGGCCCTTGTCTGTCCAGGCTGGGAGTTCACCTGGGACCTCGGGGACACTGCGAGGAGCTGGTGACGAGCTCCACCCGAGTCCACCATGCAGAACAGTGAAAGGAGGTCTGCAGGAGACAGGACGCCGTGGTGGGGAGGCCGAGGAGAGGCCCAACGCTGGGCCCAGGACTGGGGGTGACCCACGGGGGCACGCGGAGCGGAGCGTCTGCTGCACGCCCTGGGCTGGCAAAGGGCTGCCCTCGGGCTGTTCGCTCCCTCCCGGCAGGATAATCCTGGAAGGTAGGCACAGAAGACTGAGCTCAGGCAAGCAGATGATGACGCGAGAGGAACTCAGCTATAGTTTCTGATGAAGAATCCCCAAAGACTTGATCCAACAACAGACAGATCTACAGTGTAGTGATTTTAACAGATTTAAAAGCAAGTATTAAGTGAGCCTAAGCTTCCGACTGCTCTAAAACATACTGCACTTTTAAGGCCAGAAGCCCCACGATTACTCATTTCAGCAGTTTTAGAAAGAATCTGATAGAGAAAAGCTAGGGGAGAGAATGTGGGGAGAAAACCTCTATTTCTTAAGGCTTGTTTACCAGAAATACGTCCTATGTGTAGCTGACTTAATAGTAATTACAGTGGAAAATCGAAAACCTGGTGGGGTTATAAACTCTAGAGCAAATAAATATGTTTCTTACAACATGTTTTCATGGGATATTATCATAATTTCTAATATCTATAAACAAGCAGTTATGTTTCATCATCTTATGTGGGGAACACCTGTTTGGTGGTTTCTGAATAACGGGGTTTATGGGCCTTGGTCTTTGGAGTAACTGGTGAATCTGGGGAAGGAGGCACTTCAGGCTCAGTTCAGCTCAGCAAGAGCCGGGCCTCCCTCTGCAACCCCTGCCACAGGACGGAGGCTTTTTCTTTTCATATGTATTTGTTACTTTCAATCTTTTCATATCCTCTGATTGGAAAATCTTTTACACGATTGACCATTTCAGGTTGAATCACTGTATATAGGACAAGGCTCCCAGCACCCTTCATGACACAGTACTGTATCTGCTACCCCGAGCTCTCAACTCAGTGTGTGTGTGTGTGTGTGTGTGTGTGTGTGTGTGTGTGTGTAAATCCATATCATAGACATGTGCACACACGTGGTAAAGTGAACTGCTGTCCAGTGTGGATCTGCTATGGACACTGGTGAGCATTTTCCTTCAGTTCTAACTGAGGCCCTATTTGTACTAACAAAGCACAAGACACATGTGGTTCTGAATATGCCTTGTTTTTAATGATGCACAGTATCTTTGAGAGTAGAACATACTGTAGGCTGGGCTTGACTTCACTTACTTGGTCAGACTCTTGCTATTCTATTAAAAAGATGTACCTGGAAGTGACCTTTTCCTAGAGGTAGACGACTATGTTCGCTTCCAGTCTTTTATTCCTATGAACCCTCTTGCAATAAACAACTCTACCTCTATTGATGTGATCCTATGCACATGTCCATGGAATCAACTTCAGTTTAATTAGTTGTTACAAGCTTTGTGTATTTTAAATTTTTTGTGAATGCCTTTATTGTGGTTAAACACAAACCTCTTCATACACTTGTTTTTTTTAATTTTCTCTTCTACTGATTATGTCCTTCCTTCTGATAGCTTTGGCTTCCCTAGTTTCTCAAGGTGTGATATTAGGGTATTGATTTGAAATCTTTATTCTTTTTTAATGTAGGCATTTACAACTATTAATTCCCTGGTAAGCACAGCCTCTGTAACATCCCATGTGTTTTGGTATGTGGTGTTTTCATTTCATTATCTCTACGTATTTTCTAATCTTCTGTGTGATTTCTTCTTTGATCATTGGTTGTTTGAATGTGTGTTTTCCCACATACTTATAAATTGTCTAGTTTTCCTCCTGTTGTGGATTTACAGATTTATTCCATTATCCTCAAAAATACACTTCATATGATTTTAATTTTTTCAAATATATGGAGATGTGTTTTGTAGCCTAAAATATTGCCTATCATAGAGAACATTCCATATTCACTTTAGAAGGAGTAGAGGTGTATTTAGAAGTGAATTTTCTCTTTTCGAGTAGAGCCTTCTATTAACACACATGTATGTATGTGTATTGTGTCTAGTTGGTTTACAGTGTTGTTTAAGTACTCTGTTTTTACTGACCTTCTATCTAGACATTCTATCCATTACTGAAAGTGCTTCAAATCTCCAAGTATAATTGTTAAATTGCCTATTTCTTTGTTCTACCAATATTTGCTTCATATATGTTAGGACACTATTTGGTGCCTATTTTTAACACTGTTATGTTTTCTTGGTGAATTGACAGTTTTTATCAGCATATAAATATCTTTGGTCCCTCATTTGTTCCATTATTTCCTTTTGTGTTTAGTTGTTTACTTGTAGTGAACCATTTTGGTTTTCCTTTCATTTCCTTTTGTGTATGTTGTTGTTCAGTCGCTCAGTTGTGTCCGACTCTGCGACCCCACGGACTGCAGCACGCCAGGCTTCCCTGTCCTTCACTATTTCCTGGAGCTTGCTCAAATGCATATCCATTGAGTCAGTGATGCCATCCAACCATCTCACCCTCTTTCATCCCCTTCTGCTCCTGCCTTCAATCTTTCCCAGCATCAGGGTTCTTTTCTAGTGAGTCAGCTCTTCCCACCAGGTGGCCAAAGTTTTGGAGCTTCAGCTTCAGCATCAGTCCTTCCAATGAATGGTCGGGGTTGATTTCCTTTAGGATTGATTGGTTTGATCTCCTTGCTGTCCAAGGGACTCTTAAAGAGTCTTCTCCAGCACCACAGTTCAGAGGGATCAATTCTTTGGCACTCAGCCTTCTTTATGGTCCAACTCTCACATCCGTACATGGATACTGGAAAAACCACAGCTTTGACTATATAGACATTTATCAGAAAAGTGATGACACTGCTTCTTAATACACTGCCTAGGTTTGTCATAACTTTTCTTTCAAGGAGCAAGTGTCTTTTAATTTCATGACTGGAGTCACCATCTGCAGTGATTTTGGAGCCCAAGAAAATAAAGTCTGTCACTGTTTCCATTGTTTCCCCGTCTAACTGCCATGAAGTGATGTGTATGTATTTTTAGATTTTTTTTGTAGATCAATTTAGGATGTTAGAATTACATTTATCTTCCTAAAGGAATTCTCCAGACAAGAATACTGGAGTGGGTTGCCATGCCCTTCTCCAGCGGATCTTCCCCACCCAGGGATGGAACTTGGGCTCTCCTGCTGCATTGAAGGCAGATGCTTTACTGTCTGAGCCACGAGGGGGTCCAGAATTATAACAATTGAGTTCAAACTGATGCAATACTAACTTCAGCAGCAGACAAAACTCTGCTTCTGACAGCTGCATTCCTCTTCTTGATTTCCACAAATCATACCTTGATACCTGTGCCCAATAACATAGATTTATAATTGTCTCTTATGCAGTTGTCTCAATTGCTATAATCACTGTAGGAAATAGAAAGTGGAATTATAAACCATAAATACAGCTTCACACTTGCTCATGTAGTTACATTTACTGAAGACCCCTTTCTTCACGGAGCTTTGAGTTGCTGTCTTCCATTCTTTCATCTCAATCTGAACAACTCCCTTCACCATTTCTTTCAGAGCGGGTCTAGAGGTAACTAAACTCTCTCAACTGTGTATTTTATGGGAAGGTCTTCATTTTGCCTTCATTTTGAAGGAAAGGTTCAGTGAATGCAGATTTATGTGGCAGTTTTCTCCCAGGCCTTTGGTCATCAGCCCATTCTCTTCTGAGTATACTGGGCTCTTTCTGATGTCAGTGGTCCTTTAGGCTCCCTCAAATTTCCTCACTTTTTTTTTCTCTGTTTTTCGGCCTCTAATTTCAGTTGCTTTGTATTAAAGTTTGTGAACTCCTTCCTCTGTGGGTTCAATTTTCATTTCAGTCACCATACTTTTCTTCTCCAGAATTCCTACTGGATTGCTATAACTTTCTATCTATTTATATTCTCCCTTTGCCCATAGATAGTTTAGCTCCTTCACCATATTTAAGACAATTACCTTTAAAATATTCACTTAGTAAGTGCTATGTCTGGAACTTCCTCAGGAATGGTTTCTTTCAACTTACTTTGTTGCGTTGAATGGGCCATACTTTCCTGTTTCTTTTACTTTTTTAAAAAATTAAAACTCTAAAAATTTAAAACTTTCCTATATACCTTATATTTTTTTTAGCATAAACTGGACATTTGAACAAAAATGTGATATTATACTGTGGTAATTATGGAAACTCTTCCCAGGATTGACTTTTTGCGTTGTTGAAGGCTGCTGTAGTCTAGTAACTTTCCAAACTTTTTTTGAACAAAACTGCATTTGCTCTCGTATGTGGTCACTAAGGTCACTGTTCCCTCAGCTTGAGCCCAGCTAGTGTTTGAAAGAAATTTCTTTGAATGCCAGAAGCTAAAAATAGAAAAAACAAAGAACAAACAGAACTGTTCTCCCAGTCCTTCCAGACCTTCCCTGGGCTGAGCTGCACTCCCAAGTCTAAGCAGGCTTGTGGGAGCACAGACATCGGCCTGAAGCAAGCCCAGCATCTTCTCAGGTTTCTCCGAACATGTATACTGACCTGGACACGTGTGTGGCTGTCTAAATTCCCTCGTGCACACAGGTGGTACTTTTTTTAATAATGGTAAAATACACATATAAAATCTGACAAGTGGCTGGAGGCAAGGAAAATGAAAATCCTACCAGGCCTTCTCACCATTTTTAAGTTGCTTTTCTCTTGACGGAGTCTCTCTTTGGCTGCTGTAAACTCTGCCTATTCTCCAGAGTCCTGAAAAAGTTGTTTTTGACTGTTTCTGTTTCTCCCTCATGTCTCTGTGAAGGGCTGGACTTGGAGCTGCCTTCTCCTCCACTGAGCCACCTTGAATTTCCCTTCACAGAAGTGTTGGTCATGGGCCCCTCTAAGGCCTTCACCAGCGTTGGACAGTAAGCAATGTTTTCATCTTTGTCATTTTGATGAGAAAAAGTAAAACACTTCATTAAAAACGTTTCCTTTGTCATTAAAAGAGGCCGAGCACCTTCTCCTGTGTTCAGAAGTCACTAATGCGTACTTATACAGTGAGACGTGCACCACCTAGCCACCTAGTAAAGCAAGTAAATATGCAAGACGAACCACGGTGCCTCACCCAGTAAGTGATTCAGGACTCGGGCACCCATGACTCTAACTCAGAGAGGGGTACGCGGGCAGTGGGGGACGCTGGGGAGGGCGCAGGCACGGCCACACAGAGGAGGCGGAGCGTCAAAGCCCGCAGGACTCGGCACATGCAGTCCTAGTCAAGGCGATCTAGACTGACTGCTTTCCCACACGTCCTTTCTGCTCTCTCTGCTTCACCTGACTTTTTTTTTTTTTAAAGCTTCTTTCACTAGAAACTGTAAAAGATACATAAAGGCAGAAACAACTCACTGCAGTCGATTTTGCATTACCCTCCCTCTGGTTCAGAATCGTGGTGAATGGAAGCAAACATCATCACACAACAAGGTGGGGAGAGCG